TCCAAATTACGTCTAAATTTGGTTGACAAGTGAAAGGTGAAAAGACGTCTATAAAAAGACGTCCAAATTACGTCTAAATTTGGTTGAAAAGTGAAAGGTGAAAAGACGTCTATAAAAAGACGTCCAAATTACGTCTAAATTTGGTTGAAAAGTGAAAGGTGAAAAGACGTCTATAAAAAGACGTCCAAATTACGTCTAAATTTGGTTGAAAAGTTAAAGGCGAAAAGACGTATTTTCAGGCCTAATTACTGTCAAAATAAGATAATTCACAAGAGTACCAAAACATTTATTGACACATTAAATACATCTTTCACGTAAAAAAAAGCTTAAGCCTACATTTTCAAACATACCATAAAAACAGTAATATTGTGAAATATAACTACAAAAATAATTATTTTATATGTGAATGCATTGCAAAATGTAATTTATTAATGTGAACTGTATTTTCAGCATCATTACTCCAGTCTTCAGTGTCACATGATCCTTCAGAAATCATTCTAATATGCTGATTTGGTGCTCAAGAAACCTTTCAGTTGTGCTGCCCAATATTTTTGTGGAAACCAATATATTTTTCAGTATTCTTATAATAGAACTTGCAAAACAGCAGTATTTGTTTGAAAGTTTTTTTTTTTAACAATTCTTTACTGTAACTTTTCATCAAATGAATCCATCTTTTCTGTATAAACATCATTTATATCTTTAAAATATTGAAAATGTTTATAAAACAGAACAAGGACTAATTATAACCACATTAGAACATATTTCACCCAAAAATGTAAATTTGGTCATTAATTACTTACCCTCATGTCGCTCCAAACCCATAAGACCCTTTTGTGCAGAACACAAATGAAGACATTTTTAACAGATGCCTTGTGTACGCAAAAAAACAGCAACTTTACTACCTTTCTGAGGCTTGAAAGTGGTGGAACTGTGAAATGGAGGGGCAGAAATTTCTCAGATTTCATTAAAAAGATCTACATTTATGTTTCAAAGATGAACAAAAGTCTTACAGGTTTGGAACAACATGAAGGTGAGTGATGAAAATTTTTGGTTTAACTAACACGTTAGGTAAATCTGTTCCCTCAGGGGCACCAGTAGATCTCTGCCTGATCTCTGATCTTCTGGTTCTTCTGCTCCTTCCACCATCCCAATCCTGGATTATTGAGCCACGACAGAAGTTTCCACTTTGAATGCTTTAGCCTGGCTGTTTTTTCTCCAGCATCTAAAGTGAGAAAGAAAACAATAACCAAAATGTAAAAAAAATAATAATAATAAAAAAAACAATGGTTGTCCAAAATGTAAAGTATACACTTGAGTTTTCCCTACTGTTAGGGCATTTCCACCTCAGGGCACAAAAGAGTGGGAACTGACTTAAAGGATAAAAAAAAAATTCTTGAATTTTCAACACAATTTTTGTCACTTCCTATACAGGGCTCCAGATTGCAACCAAATGGTCACATTTTGCGACCACTTTTTCTGCCGGTGCGACTAAATTTTGTGAGCAATCACACTGCTGCGACCACTACGTTGCCCCACCTCATAAGCGCTGCTATTTCTGTTGCATATGAGAAACATCAAACAGCAAGTGAAACAAAAGCTAGTGAAACTGCGCTACTCGTTTGAGCTGCGCAGCACGGACCGTTTATCAGCTCGGATCAGCGCAGCACAAACAAACTTCTCCGAGCTCAGAACAGGTTTACTCAGGAAGCAGCGTTGATTTCGCGACACTGTTACTGCACAGTGCTGGTTAAGGTTGCCATGAGCTCCAGTGAGAAGCATTCAAATTCTGCACAGAAATCTGTTATAAACAGGTCAAACAGGGCTGACATATAACCAGAAGTAGTAACGCTAACTATAACCATGGTGTTGTGGCAGAAATAGTTGATTTTCATTACATTATGCATTTCAGGGTTTGTACAACCTTTTGAGAGAGAAATTCAAGCACTTTTAAGTATTTCACACAACTATTTACAGCACTTTAAAACTCTAAAAAGCATACAATTAAAATGTTATTTTTAAAGAGATGACCAAAATATAGTTTGTGGTAAACAAACACTAATGTAAAAAAAAAATGTCTCAGGTTACATATGTAACCATGGTTCCCTGAGTAGGGAATGAGACACTGCGTCCTTATTATATGTTGTTTCATCTCATAAATAATCATAACAACAATTATAATACATTATAAAACTTACTTATTTGTGGTTATAACTTTTATTAGTGTGATTATGTATAACATGCAATAAACACCATGTTAAATCCACGTAATTTATAATGGATTATAAGTCTTATATCTTGACATTATTTATTTTAGATCTGTACAGTATCTTACTAACTTATTGATATTACAATAAATATAGTTAAAATCAAATGTGCCATATTACACATTCATCTGATCAGATATCTGATCTTATGGCTGTTTAAGAAATCTTTTTTTTATTTTCATTATTGTTGTTGTTGTTGTTGTTATTTATAAGTGGTATTTGTCTGCTTTAAGTAAAGTAACAAGTTAACAATGGCAAGATATGGGACTTATAATACATTATAACTATGGGAAATATAAACCATTGTAAGTTAAGTGGATGCATTGTGTTCATTGTGTATTATAAATCACAATCTTAAAAGCTATAACCACAAATATAAGTATAGTAATAAGTAAATATTATAATGCATTAAAACTGTTGTTATGATTACTCTCGGGCTTCATAGAAGGTGTTACCATTAAGTAATAGATTCTGTACTGCTTCACTGATGTTAAATATACAATATATCCTTATACAAAAAAAAAAAATGTTTACAGCATTTTATGCTTTAATCTTGCAGTTAAAGGCATCTAAGAAGATTAATAAAATCCCTTGGTTTAAAACGGAGGAGTTTTGACAGGCCCCATAATGAAATTCACCAAGCTGTTATGGTACAGTATGTGTTAAAGCAGTGCTCCGAATTCCTTCTTCTGGAAAGCCACTAACTTTCTGCTTTCTGATTTCAGTTCCAGTCATTTTCTAAAACACCTGCAGTCAGCTGCAAAAAACTGCCTTAAGTTAAGAAAACACCAAGTGGCTAAGTGTGGTGACCCATACTCTGAATTTGTGCTCTGCATTTAATTCATTCAAGTGCACACACACAGCAGTGAGTAGTGAACACACACGTTTTGCTGCGGCACCCAGGGAGCAGTTGTGGGTTCAGTGTCTTGCTCAAAGGGACCCTTTGTTGTGGGTAATGAGGGTGGAAGAAAGTGCTGGTCATTCACTCCCCCAACCTACATTTCCTGATGGTGCTGAGACTCAAACCCGCGACCATTAACCGACGGTCCGGCTAGTTTGTTTGGTGTGTTCCACTCGTAGGCTCTCGTCGGTGGCAGTTTGCCAGATTCAACATGTTGAATCGGCGTCAGGGCTGTCGGCGAGAGTGAGAGCTCTGATTGGAGATTTGCATATGAAATGCTGATTGGTTGAATTTTTTCCAGTAAAACTGTTATGAGTTTGTAAGCTCTATACACTAGCGACTATAGCCTACGCAAGAATAAAACACTGAGGACGATGACAAAGAGGGGGATTCCTGGCATAATAATAAAAAGATAAAACACTGCTTCATAGCTTTATTCTACCTGTTAAGATTATTCGTGCTGAACCAGAAGTTGAACCATTGTTAAATGATAGCACTCGTGCTGTAAAGGCCGGGGCACACCAAGCCGACGGTCGGGCTAGTTTGTTTGGTGCATTGTTCAGTTTAGCGAACAAGTCATTGCCCGAGAATTAAAGCGAAAGTGATGAAAACAAGCATGTAAATGAAGGCGGTACAGACAGAAGGCTGTTTAAATGTTACGTGATCTTTCCCAATCATTCTAATATGCGAATGTTTTCATAACAACATGAGCCATTTAAAATGATTTTGAATGAAGTTATCAGCGTTAATGATATTCAAAATGGTAAGCAAGCGCTGCTTTGTTTACGTTTCGTATATCTGCGTTTATCTCATATATCTTTGTTTCGGTTTCTCCTTTTGAATGATGAATATATACTATTGATAGCTGCTGATATAGACAGTTAATTCCTCTCACGCATGCGCAGAAGGCACGTGTTAGTTTGCCGTCGGCTGTAGTCTGTGCGGTGTGTTCAAGCGCAGCTTTTTGGTCCGACGCTGCCGACGTGAGGCGACAACACCATCGGCTTTCGTCGCCGCTAGTTCTTTGAAGTCGGATTGGTGTGTCCCGGCCTTTAATGACTTTCAAAGCAGTGCACGCTCTCTCGTGCTAAAGCTGCTGTAAATAAAATCAGGAACACTGTGTCCTTCAGCTACGTCACAACAGTCACGCCCAAACCTTGTGCTGTTTGTATGGTTAGGGATTTACTGTGAGTGTTATTATGTATTCTGGTAAAATGTCAACACCCCATATCAGTGTAGGTGGAACTGGAAGTGCAATACAACCCATCCCAGCCCGTTCAAATGAACTCCTCTGAACCTCATGGTATAAAGGAGGAATGTTCATGTCAAATGTTTTACTGATTGATATGAAGCTGGCGGTACATCAGCTTATGAAGCTGTATGACTTGTTATAGAGATTGATGCATGGCGTAAACGCCACCTTATGACTTCATGGAGTACTTTAAAAATCTCAACTTTTCCTTTAAAAGTAAAAAATTACTCATCCTTGCAAAGCAACAACAATATTAATGTGTCCATACCATGTGTCCATATGCGAAACAGTCTTTGCTTCTCATTTAGGCTGTTTCAGGAACACGGTGTTCTCTCTGCAAACTTGTGGTGGATATGTAGTGAATTTGCAGCACGTTTACTTTTTCGTCAACCCTGTGGTTTTAGTCAAGCGCATCAGACGAATGCTATGGGAAGTTTGTTTTCTATAGGACTGATTTTTTGACTCTTGCATGCTTATGCAGCTCTGGGACTCTTTCCAACTGCTCTGCTGAGACACATGCAGTACCTCTGAAGGGGACCACTGTTGTGGGTAATGCGGGTGGAAGAAAGTGCTGGTCATTCACTCCCCCAACCTACATTTCCTGCCGGTGCTGAGACTCAAACCCGCAACTTTCAGGCTACAAGCCTGACTCTCTAACCATTAGGCCACGACTACCCATAAACCTAATTGTGTTTCAACTGGACACTGGCAGTAATTTCCATGTAAACTCAAATGCTTTGATTTGTTGATTCAGATGCATTTAATTAAGTCAGGGTGTCCAATCCTGCTCCTGGAGGGTGTGTGTGTGTAAAATATTTATTGTGGTAATAATCCAAAATAATATTTATTTAGAGTGAGCTTATGCACTGGTCACCTTGGCAAGGAATCCGTGCAATGCACAAACGGGTTCGTGATGTCAGAGGAATCCAGCCTTGCTACAGGTATATATATTATCTATATTAACCCTATTTTTAAAAGATGTGGTCAAGCTTTTTTCCCCCAAAAATGTTTCTCTCTGTTATTTCTCTAGGAATGAGGTGGCTCTAATAATGAGAGAACTTGATGCCAGTGGTCTTAGAAGATGTCCTGTGAAAAAAAGAATTGAACGTAGAAATTACTTCAGCTGTGGATCAAATTACACTTGGCATATTGATGGTAAATATTATTAAATATTAAGTGAATATGAATAAACAAATTAGTGTTACAGATGCTGAAGAAAGTCATAGATATCAAAAACAGAGTAAAGAGTAAAGCATTAACTAGATTTCTGACTGATGTTTTGATTTTATGCAACCTGTACATTTAATGAAGTTCATTGCTTTGTAATTTTACTCTCAGAAATGTAATCTAACTTATTTTATTTTTCTGTTAACATACTTGAAATGGCCTTAATATATTTTTCTAGGAAAATTATTTGGCTTAAGGCTGGCACCTCTAACCGACAGCAAACCTTCATTGCAAGGTACTTTTTTGATGCCATTCAGGAACACAGTGGTACGTATATTTGATATCTTACAATGAACATGATAGGAGAGAGCTTCTCATGTCGGTAGACAATAGTATTATTATTAAAAATATTGAGGTGAACTTTGTTTTTGTCTGTCTGTTGGAATGTATAGCACATGCTTATTGATGCTAAATTGAAGGAATGTTTGTAATAGATTTTCTTATCTAAAAAATCCCCTTCTTGAGAGAGAGAGAGCTGAACATAGAGCAAAGACTGTGGAACACTCACGATATTCGCAAGCAAAGGAATGTTCCAGGTCCATTTGGGAAACCATACCTTCTCTTTACTTCCCCACCCGAAGGTATCTGTTTCATCCAAATTAAACTGTTTCAGAAAAGCAGTAGCCAATGTGAAAAAGGAATTTGTATCTTCCTGCAGGCTTTGCTGATATGCTGTGCAAAGTAGACAACGACCTCCTGAAGTATGCAGAACAGCTTGTTTGTGGAGTAGATGAGCCTTTGTTGGTGGCAAATGAAGAATTCAGAAAAATATCAGAGGCTATTCATTTTCTATGCAAGTGACACAATATACAGTTCTCATACTATGTGTATAAATAGCTGAGCTAAAACATTTGTAAGTATTTGTTGCATGCCAACAGATTTTGTCAGGGATATGGCACATCTAAGAATCACAATGTTTTATTAATTACTCTGTTTTTTCTCTTACACCACTAGATTTAGTCATATTATCAAGATTTAGGATAGCCGTTCACAATTTGTTTGTTGGACTGTGTATGTTTTTAAGTGAAGACATCTCTTTGTGAGCTGTCATCATAATAGGAATAAATGAAAATTAAGAAATTAAGTAACAGTTTTTCTCTTTGAGATATTTATTTTAGTGCAACTTTGTGTCTGTCCACAATATGCGATCACATGAAGCATCAACACAAAATTAAGTCTTGCTGTTTTACCCTTAAAACTATTACAACTGAAACAAATCAAACTATTGCACTGACAGTTGCACATTCATTTAAGTTTGAGCATGTTCAAGTTTCTACACACTTGTGTAGATAAATTTTATCCATAACCTTTCGTACATTCAAGCGGCCAAATCACTAAGAAAGAGAGTATAGCAAGAAAATAAATGTTTA